GATGCCACAACTGTGATTTCCATCCCGGAGGCTGCGAAATACAACGTCTGGGTTCGCGCAAAGGATTGGGTCCCGGGCCATCATCCAGGAAGGTTCACGCTTGCAGTCAACGGAAACACTTTGAGTGCTGTGTTTGGAGCAAACGACCAGGACTGGTCTTGGCAGTTCGGAGGCAACATGGAGCTTCCATTAGGTGAAATAAAGCTTGCACTCCACGACCTGACAGGATTTTGCGGACGCTGTGATGCGATTTTCTTCAGTCGTGATGATGTTGCACCTCCACAGGCGACCGACGAGGCAGCACGGGCATGGCGGCGCAAACTCCGTGGACTCCCCCAGGACCCTGTCAGCATGGGCACCTTCGACCTTGTAGTCATTGGAGGCGGAGTACCTGGGGTGGCCGCGGCTCTAACTGCTGCCCGGCTAGGAGAGCGCGTTGCACTGGTTCACGATCGGCCTTACCTTGGGGGCAACGCCAGCGTGGAAATCGGACTTCGCCCACGTGGAGTGACGGGACCGCTGATAGACGAGCTCTCACAGCGCAAACCCGATGGCGATCTCTACGCAAGTCAGTTGCTTGATGCGGAAGCCAATGCAACTGTCTTCCTGGAGCACGCTGTTTACAACGTGGTGCAAAGGAACTCAACTATCATCTCTGTGGATGCTCGCCATGCCCGCAGCGGGCGGGAGGTTCGCTTGGCAGCGCCAATTTTCATCGACTGCTCAGGAAGAGCCATCGTTGGACTGCTTTCCGGCGCGGAGACTCTCTTCGGACAGGAGTCGCAGTCGGAGTACGGCGAGAAGCTCGCACCAGCAGATGGCAACAGCATGCACCACGGTAACACTGTGTTTTTTCGGACGCGGATGGCACGCTCACCTGTTGCCTTTCCACACGTTCCCTGGGCTACCGAGGTGGCCAAGGACTTCTCTGATCTTGGTGGTCAGCTCACAAAGCCCGGTATTGAAAACGGTCCTGGCCCTGCTGTCGCTCCGAGCTTTGTATCTGAACCAAACGTGCCCAGACGAATGACAAGGCCTCTCACTCACTTTTGGGAGTACGGCCAATGGCTCGACCCCTATACTCAAGGCGAGCATATTCGTGACTTCCTTCTTCGTGCGATATATGGCACCTTCTCAAACATCAAAACAATGGATCCTTGTACATACGCCAACCTCGAGTTCGACTGGGTCGCTTATGTCCCTGCACAAGGCGAATTCCGGAGGTACAAGGGAGACTATGTCCTTACAGAGAACGACATTCGCAATCATAAGCGATTCCATGACGCAGTGGTGCAGAACGAGGGAGCATTCTGTTTGCACTATCCAGGCGACAAGAAGTACGACTTTCGTCTCAAGTGGTGGGAATGGGATGAAAGGGATGGAAAGCCTTATGATATCCCATTCCGTTGCCTCTACTCTGTCAATGTCTCGAATTTGATGATGGCAGGAAAACACATGAGCGCAACTCATGTTGCGTCGTCTAACACCAAGTTCATGGGGAATGGCGGGCAGCACGCGATCGCAACAGCAGCTGCGGCTCATTTGTGCAAAAAGTACAGCACAACACCTCGAGGAGTCCACGAAACCCATCTTTCGGAGCTTCAAAGAATTGTTGCGACTATAACCGGTACTGATTGTTCATACCCCCGGAGCCACCTATGAGAATGAGCGTCCAGGCATCTCAAAGAATCTTCAATCCTCTATATTTTTAGCCGGTGAAAGGACAGCACCTATATGTCTTACCCACGTCTGCGAGGTGATCGGCAAGCAAAACTATCCATCCAGAGCACATAAAGATATTAGAAGAAGGCTTGGTTGTTTGAAGAGGTGGCCGAATGGCTTCTTACTGCAGAAGTGAACAAAGGAGGCCAACTCTTCGTTTTCGTTACCCCCTCCAGGATACAATAACCAGTTGTTGTCTGCCGTGGTGCTCTACGACATGAGACTTCGAAATCCGCCGACGAATTCAGAACTCTGCGAGACGAATGAACGCCAAATTGGTTGCCGTCAGCTATCTCTGGCCAGGGTACAACAGTCTGTTACCAGACGAGAACATGGCTACTAAGGACTAAATCTTGGAGCCAACCAGGGCTTACCACATGCTCACCGCATGGAGATAGCCGTGCCTTGATGTGTTAAACAGGTGGCATTGATCAACTTCGTGAGCCAATACGTCTCTGACAAGCTTTCCAACATTGCCTTGCAAAGGTACATGACTCTAATACGAAGCGCAACACAACACACCGGTATTTCCTCCAGAGCTCAAACTACACTAGGCTTGTTGCATCTGAAAAGAAACGGGCCGTAGCTAGGAAGACTTCGGCTCTTACAAGATATTGGAACTGTCCTGGAAAACGAGGAGCCCAGACTCAATTCTTTCACACCATTTCCGACTTAATCCACAGAATCTTTTGTTGAACATCAAGGGCCTAGGATGCACGCATAAACTTTGTCGTTCTCTATATTCTGATACTCTTTTCTCCGACCAAACTTCAGGCACCCCGCCGTTGTCGCCGCCATCTAACTACACATTCCATCATGGCTCATGGATCATCGTTCAACAATTGGAAAGGGGTTGATTCGACGAAGTACAGCCCCCTAGTCTGATGTGGTCAACATCTGTTGTTTGATGTTCTCTGATATCGTAAATAGCTGTGCTCAACACGACGAAAAGCGAGAATACCTTCACGTTGTGGCCAAAATCCCTGGTGAAGTCACACACAATCAGTCTCTCGTGGCTAGCGTTTCAAATTTTTCTAGCCTAGGCGGTGGATGGCTTGGACCTGACCCTTCCAACGACGACAAAATCCAAATAAGGAATTGGGCTAAGAATGCTCCTGACTGGCGAATCGCAGCGGAGGGTCTCAGTTTGGAAGGTTGGCAATGATCTTCAGACTTCAGCCTTGAGAACGTTGGCAGTTCGGTTGGCTAACCGCTGGTCTCCGAGGCCCATTGCGAGATCACCTCTTGTCGTGCTTACAGCTAAGGCTACGTCCTCGCCAGGTGGGGTTATAGTAATAGCGGGGTCTTCTTCCGAAACGACAGAGACGTGAAATGCCCCATGTGTGCAAAGAATGTCCAGGTTGAAAACTTTGGCTTCTACAACACTCAGTACAAGGTGACTGGCTCCTAGAAGGACACCCCGCGAGGACTTTTCCAAGACGTGGACACCGGCTGGAAGTTGGCTTCTGCAGACTGCTAAACTACTTTCTTGGACGACCCGAACAGCTTGGTGTACTTGGGGGAGCTCAAAGTCGAGGTTCGAAAGCCGTGAACTACATAGTGTATCCTGGTGTATCAGCACTGCCAGACTATTGTCATACAGTATCAGTCTACATTCAATGCGAACTCAATCCTACCCGTGTAAGATAGTTACTACACGAAGAGTGCTGTGCTGAGAGAATCCGCCCCCTCTGTTCAGCAATTTATTAACCTGCCCGAGACGGTGACGAATGCTCCCGTATTCGAAAAAGATCAATGCGTGGCCGTACAGTTAGACAACCTCAATGCTCGCTAGCACGAACCGCTGCGCAATAAGTGATGATTGGTTTACTCCTCCTCTGGCGAATAGAGAGCGACCACGCCCGTTCTTCCTGCAGAGGTTCAGATTTGGAATCACCAGTTGTCTTCTTAACATTGCCGATCTGCTCTGAGGGTTGAAACGTGGTGATATCAGAATCCAGTCCTCGTCACCCGTTTTGCGGCTCTTGTTGTTGCTTGCACACACCACTCATGGCATGTGGCACAGGGCCAAGACTGAAGATTGCGCTGGATTGGATTGAAAATTTGAAACGAGGGTTCAGCTATTCGGCAGACGGAGGAGGATGTGGTATGGTCCAGATATTCTGTCCGGAGATTGTGGAACGCATCGGATTCGCAGGTGAAGCGCCTTCGACATAATCTCATAAACACCAGTTCCTGCAGGGTCAAATATGCCATGTGATAATCTTTCTTCTTGAAGAGGTACGTCTCGGATGTCGTCGTCCCTAAAGTGTAGACATCTTGGCCAGTGGCTCTCTCTTGAACATGGCTTTTGCCGAAATTGCGATTCCAGGGCGCGGTACCCAAAGGTGAAGATTTCTGTATATAAGATGTGCGGACAGCCTCATCTTGTCATTTCTTTGATTATGTTCCCTTCATTGCCCAACTGGCAACCCAGGAGCCAGAGAATGATTGGACAGCGCTTTACTTGCCGGTCAACATATTAAGGATAGCAGAAGGACAGCTTTCAAACGCCAGACCGCAGAGTTGGCGGTGTTTCCTAGATGGTCGTTGTGCATAACTAACGGGTTCCCAATGGTCCCGGTTTGGGCATCGAGATCAAAGGTATATCTGGCACTTGCAAAGCTTTGTAATGTGCCAGGTATAAGAATAAATCTTACAAGCTCAATCCGGCCCTTTGTCTAGCTCCTGTATTCGATCATCTGTCTGCATTATCATCTCCCCTATATTGTGACTTGGGTAAGGTCGACCACTTGCGTCAATAATGTCAAATCAAACTCCCATTGCTCGCGAGACAATTCCATACTCGAAAGATATGGAGGACACCATCAAAATTTCGAATCCAAACGAATCCCAGTCCATGAACCTGGTGAGGATGACGATGGGCGTTATATTGCCACGGCCAACCTCATCTATCACTTCTCGAGTCCCCCCTGTGTTGTTCGGCCCAAGTGTTCGTGTGATGTGCGAGACGTTATCAGAATTTCAAAAGCCCGAAAAATCCTGATTACAATCAAGAATGGTGGTCACTCTTATGCGAGAGGATCAACGACGAATATCGGGATCTTAATGGAACTTGGTCTGATGAATGAGGTTAACCTCGACTTGAAGCCAGAAACTGTGACCGTCAAGGGTGGTGCATTGTAGTTTCATGTTTACAAGACATTAGTTAGCAAGCATCTTGATGGTTTCGTCGTCAATGGTGGGCGCAGTCCCGCTGTGGGAGTGAGCGGATTCATGCTGGGAGGCGATCTTTCCCCTTCACAAGAAGCTTCAGCATGGGCTGCGACACCGTCAGGGAGTTTACCATTGTGACTGCGGAGGGAGATGAGGTGAATGTTTACTGTTTCGGAGCGCGATGATCCGAAAAGAGACAAGGGTAAGCTGTTCTGGGCCCTCCGAGGTGCTGGCGGCGGAAACTTCGGTGTCGTCGTCGAAATGAAGTTGGCACTGAAAAAGTTAAAGAGCAATGTCGTCGTCGCCGGACAATACACCTGGTTTCCGGAACGTCAAGCCATTGACTTATTCATGACAACCATGAATAGCTTCTATACCAGGAGCTCGCCGGATGAAATGACGCTTGACAGCACCTGGCTGTGCGACCTCTCGAACGTCAGGACCGATCTCGACGTCCGGTTTCTGGTCTACTATAATGGTGGCCGGGGAGCTTTTAACAAAGTCATTGATGACTGGACGATATCGAACGACCCTAGTCAACATGCAGAGCTAAAGAAACAACTCAAACGGCGGTCATTGCAGGAGATATCATCCCGCTTCCTTCACGAGACTCTGGCGGCGCAGTGGATCGAGGAGACCAAAAAGTACTTTCCTACCAACCGCTCTTACCAGATTTATACTTCATTCGTCTTTAAGCATGCCCAAGGGAGCATTGAAAGAATTACCCGCATTATCAGAGACGAGATGAGAGCTCCGGGAGCAATTTGCAGGAGAGACAGGCACTCTGCAGGTTACCTTTATTCATTCTGGTGGTGCGGCAAACCAGAGGCAAAGGAGGGACACGGCCTTCCGCTGGCGTGGCTGCATTTATTTCACATACATCATGATCCAGGGGGATGAAAAATGGCTGGAGATGAACATGAGGGGCTTTCTGGACCGGATGAGGGCGAATCTAAGCCCATTTGGCATGGTGCGAGGGGCCACATTCGTGAATTTCCCCGACGACTCCCTCAAGGCAGACGCCCACGAAAAGTCGTACTATGGGAACAACTACCAGGAGTTGCGACGCATCAAGAAAATCTGGGACAAAGACAATTTTTTCAATCGCTCACAGGGCATTCAGCTCCCCGGCACATCCGCACCGCAGACTGTCAGCATGGACATGGAGGACAACGACGGGCTCTTGGAGGATCTGCTTGCTGCCAGGGCATTCGTCGTGAACGAGGAAGACCTGACCGATGCGTTAGCGGAACAGCAATGGGAATCCTCTCGCCCTTCTACCCCGACCGACTTTTACGGGAGTGGAGCCCTGCCGACTTTGGTCTACCGATGAAAGCGAAGTTTCAGTCACTTTTGTACCAGCTATCTTCTTTGATTCAGCTCCGTTTCTTAAGTCCACACGTAGGACGAGTTATATTCTGCTCGTGACACCTAATACTGACTCTTGTATTTCCGGTCCTCTTGATTTCATTGGTGGGGCTATGTCATTGAGAGTGGTCAACTCCTAGCAATCCTTTCGTTTCCGCTATCAGAAACCCTAGTTTGGACTACGTCTCCACCTCAGATCCACCACGCGGTGGAGGCCGTCGCATAATGTGGCTGTCCTTACGGGGTATGCCAAGTGACACGAACGTGTAGACTAAATAATTTAAAATTGATGGTTCTTCCCGCATTCTAGACATCTGGTCCATCATCTATGCACCGCTCGTCCATCGCTTTACGGAAGTCTTGTCTGGACCTCGCAGAACTGCGCCACGTGAAAGAATGGTGACGGCCACCTGTGCCTTCACCACTCTTGCGTCTTCGAGCTCTGGCAATGCGCGCTGTGATCTGACCCAAAACAATGACTTACTATATCGAAAGCGCAGGCAGACTTGTCTGCAGCAACCGGGGTCGCAGTATCTAACACTGGGGCGCCAAGTCTGCAGCCTTTGGCACGCCACGGGTAGCGGGGGAGCCTACGAAAGGCTGCGCGACACCAGCACAGGGACTGAGTTTATCTATGCATATGGCTAGTGCTCCTGCGTTGACTGAATCTGGCTATCAGAGGAGCTGCGGTATGGGGGTCAAATCTCAGTATGCTGGGCGGAGCAAGGATTCGCAGACTGCCATCAACCGGGGAACCTGACCTTGGAGGCTGAGCACTTGACAGGTCTGCCATTGATGCTGTATGGCAAATTGCAGTCCAAAGGGATACCGCACGATGAGATTATCGAAAAGGTCAGGCGGAGGAGCTCAAAACGCCTATGGCTGGCCATTCGCGAGAGTCTCAAAGATTACTCAGAAGCGCTATCGACAAGTGAATTCCCTCTAGAGCTGCGCAGAGGTAAGAATATGGCACGGCTCCTGATAGGAAGAGTCTTGCAAGTTGGCAGTACTTCGACTGCGCCCTCTGACTCGTTCTGGTTCGTCCGGGCTCGTGAAATTTTAGCTCAGACAGACAAACGACGCACCAAGCCGCACGACTACGTGTCCTCTGTCTGGGCTGACTGGCCTGGCTATCTGGTTCCTCATTCATTCTCCTGCCTGAATCGGCTCGAGCTGTTTGCTGATGCGTTCCATCAGTTCAAGTCTGGCGATCGTCAAGTCTTCGTACCGAGCTCCGGACCTGCAAGTCTCGTCAGCTTTTCTTCAGCGTCCTCGAAATTCACTTGCGATTTCAGCAAAGACCCAAAGCAAATCAAGGACACTTATGACTTGCATCATCTCTTTTTCTGGCTCAATCCAATGGTTGGGACTTGCAATTGTTGCTTCCCTTCATGTTGAGCATGGTTTCATTCGGCCATCTGAGCCACAAATTGTGAAGGATTGGATCGTTGGACTCCCTGCAGGCACGGTGCTTGATCGTGTCTTGGGGTTCAAGCAGAAAATTCGCGAGAAGAATTTCTGGCGCGAGCAACATCATATAAGACCCCGGCTTACTGCGCGGAGAATAGCACCTCGAGACTGATTACATTTTCGATTTCGTAAGCCTTTTGCTAAACCTCGACAAAACTAAATGCCAGAGCGCAAACCTCCAACCCATAGGTGTGCAATGGGAATTCAGAGATGCAGATCGTTACCTGCTTCAGACTCGCCAATTGGAAAAACTCGACGATTCTGGGCCGGGTGGCCAAAAAGTCCTGAGCGTCAACATTAAAAAGCGAGAAGTAGCTATTTTATGAGGCTGTATTGCTGTTGGAACAGAACAATCGCTTCTCAATCGCCGGAGCCTGGATTCCACTAGCCAGTGTTTACGAATGCGAGTTGGGATGCATCGTAGGCGATCAAAGCATCTATGGCGATTTGGTATAATCGAAGCCGAAAAGCTCTCACTCCAGTGGCCATGCTATTGCTAAGCCAACTTGATGGCATCGCTTTGCCTGCCCAGGACGTGGCGATTGTTGAACTCGCTGGCCGTTTATCGAAATTGGGACGAGCCAAAGGCAGCACCAACCTCATCCCAGAAGGAAGCAGAGTCCTACTGGAGCGCTCAACAAATATCAGAACAGCATTTGAATACACCATACTCCATTATAGGAATCGACATCTTGCCGTTGTCATAACCGTCGGCTTCGAAGACAGATTTCCATGTCCGGACCAACTTGCGGCTGATCATGCCGAACTTGGTTGATACCTTGAGAGCTGTGGGTGACATGGGTTCCGTTCATTGTCCAGTCACGCTACTGCAGCTGATACATGCAAGTCGAGGCTCGAAGCGCAGTTCACTGTAAATCCAGTGGCAGAGAGGTCCCCTTGTTGGATGCCTCTTTGAGAGCGATAAATCGACCCCGTCGCGGTCAAAAATCTTCTTCGACGGCCTTCCTGAGTACAAGCCGGGAATTGTGCTCACTGCCTTCTTCTTTCTAGGTTGTAAGTTCCAAAGAGCACTCCTCTTGCATACACCTTTATCATCGATGCAATTTGACATCTGAGATAGTATGCTGGCACTCGTTAGCCGACTGCTCTTCGGGCAGCCAGTCTTTTTTTTTTTTTTTTTTTCAGAGTGAGGCTGGCTGGCGTAACGAGGCAGTCCTGATCGGTACTGGGCAACCTAGAAGATGGATTTATCGACACACGGTACACATTTTGTGCTAGTACGAGCGGAGGAGCTTCGACGCGGCGGAGACATCAAGCGATTTACATATCGAAAGTGCAGGTGACTGAGAAGTACTGACTCGCCGAGTACGAGGGTAGAGAGCGGCGGACGAGGCTGGCCAATCAGCAAGCGACTCTTGTCTTCAATGGCGGGCTGATTGCGACCTCTTCCTGCTCTTCCCATATTCGTCCCTAACACACCTTCCTTTGCATCTCAATCAGTCTCGATCAGTTCGCATAGCCCACGGCCAAACCAATAAGGATAGTGAGACAGCGACGTTGGATTTCCGCTCTCTGATTGACTCCAAAACACCGTGCTACTCACCCAGTTAGCTCGGTGCTCTTCCCTCCGAATCTGACACAGCTCTCGCAATTCCTCCTGTAACCAACTCAAGCCCACGCACCTAAGACTGACTCTTCGCGGACACCAAGCAGTCCATTCATAACTATACACCCTGCCTCCTACGATTTCACCCAGTTCCGCTACATTCCCTCGACCTTGGCCTCACGTCAGCCGTTGGCATTCCACATTTTGGACTTCAGCTTCTGAAAGTCTCCAAACGCCGAGAAGGAAGAGGATCAGATAGGGAAGAGAAAAAGAAAGAAAAGAAAGGAAACAATGATAACAGACGCTCAACTGTACAGCCTCGCCATCTTCCTCGGTAGCGCAGCGATGCTGCTGATTGTACTCTACCATTTCCTCGAGGTCAACGCACAGGGCGACGAGAAGTTGGACGGGGAGCTGAGGGATGAGAAGGCGGGCGTTGGGGCTGTCAAGCCCGCAGGTCTGGGTGAGGAGACTCGGTGAGAGGGAGAGCACAGCGACCGAAGAGAGAAGCAGAGAAAAACCATTAACTCGATGCGCCGGGTCTCGAAGTTGGCGGATCTGTCTTGAAGGGCATAAACTCACGCATGCAGAAAGGAAGAAAATGACATCGACCACGGCTGGGCATAGAGCAACGAGGATGCACGGAAGACCTAAGCAGCGAAGATGGTAGGAGGAACAGAGCGAGAGGGACAATAGATCCTGCCATACAACCACACCGTGCTATGCAGAGCTACACCAGGTTCATCCAATACTTCCCTACCCATCCTGCATGGCCGACTGGAGTGTTGAGGCATTACAAAAGCAAAAGCAGAAACAAAAGCCTGGTTCGACACCTGCCTAACTGCAGCATAAAGCCGCAGCCGACACCTAGGCGTGGGCGGGACAGGGCCCATGTTAATAAACCATCATGTAACCATATCGAGAATATGTACCACTACGCGCAAGCAACTGAACGACGCTTCAAGACCTTCAAAAGGGGCTACCGAACAATTTAGGGGAGGACGCGTGAGCCTTCTCCTCGCCTTTGCCTTTGCCTTTGCCTTGTCGCGCCTCACCTGGCATGCTCTGACCTAATACCCACCTTCCCACCTGCTATTCGCAACAGGGCATCAAACTTCTGTCTCTTTTTATTTTCTTCCTTAGGAGATCTCGCGACACACACACACGGAGAGGAGGGGGGGGAGGGAGAGAAGGGGAAAAAGGGGGGGGGGATCACTTCAACAGGTGATGCCAAATGAAACCCCCTGTCGCCTGAGTACAAGACGGCAGCCGTAGAAGAAAGGGTGATGGCCGAAAATAAGACTTACCATCACTCCCCAAAATAGGTTAAAAGACACCGCAGAGTATCTCAGAAGCAAGCTGAAACTGAAGATTAAGTAAACTGTGGATTTCCCAATAGTCACCATGATGTTGTCTAGCCTTGTAATTTGATGCTTTGATTTGCTGGATCAACTAGCAGCCCCGGTGTCTGCGACTACGTAGGCAGCTATTGACACTGACATGACCGCAGTGGTGGAGAAGATGAAAAGGCTGGTGCCCTCTTGTTTTGACCAGGCATCTCACAATGGTTGGAAAGCTCATCCTCAAATCATCCATCACTCAAAGATGGAGTGTTCAAATACGTCGACCTGTGCGCTGTTGCGAGGCCCATCCGCTAATGACGATTTCCCGTCACTTGTCTCATTGAAGCAACCACTTCCCTTTGGTTAGGTTTGTCGTAAATATTTGAGCGAGTCCTTGGCTCATGCAACCCCTGACGTGTTCTCTCATCAGTAATCCTCATCAACCACCCTCTGAATCCCTGGGTTTTGAATGAGGGTAGCCCTCCTCGCCTCGTTCACCAAAACACAACCACCACGGTCAATTCCCGGTCCAATCTTGGCCTTCCTTGCCGCCATAGCCTTGAGGGTCTCTTCTGCAACAGCCCTCGGGCTGCTCTTCTCCATTCGATGTGTTTTCATGAAACTTTTTTGAGCCTGTTTCTCTACATCATCGTGGTCGGCTTTCAGTAGTGTCATTGTGTCGGCTTCCAATTCGTCTTGGACGGACTTGACCGATACGTCAGGTGTGGTCTTTCTCCCTTGTTCGTCCGAGAGGTAACGGGCTTTGTCATGGAGGAGTGTCTGAGGATCTGTGTGAGAAAGAGTTCTAGCCAAAGAATTTGACAGATGCTGTACGGAAGGATGATAAAGAAATCTTGAGAAATCAAAGGGTTTCGGTCCCGCTCTATTTTGCTTACCGATGATCTTGGTTGTTGGGCCATCCCCTAACTTAGCTGCAACTTCGTGCAAGTGTTGCTTCGCAATATGTGCGAGCCACTCTTCCGAGTTGTCAAATACTTGAGACGGACGGAGAGAGCCTTCTCCGTCATCCACGAGGTATTTGCACCTCTTCCACCAGCAGATATAACCGCCTTCTTCCTTCAGCTGCTCTGGTGTTGGCCGATGCACTTTGGAAACATGGTTTCGGAGTGTGTCAAGGTTGTGAAGGTGTCCGTGACAGCCTTTCCAGCGACATTTAAAAACAGGAAGGCTTGGCGAAGCAGGTGAAGGGATAGTGACTTCAACGTGAGAGAGCTCTTGCGCTGTCTTCTTCCTCGCTCCAGAGGTTGGGTGGACGTTTTTGGCTCCTGGAGGTCGCCCTCGTCTCTTTCCGCTCGTGTAGAATGCGCCTTCGCTCATTGTTTTCGGTTTATTTGAGGGAGTGACTTGAGTAGACGCCCATCGAGTCGGCCGTGTTCGCTCTAGGTGAGGAGATCCGTTTGAGGAAATGAGGCTTCCTCTTCGTTTCTGGGGAATCACTGGTTTCGGAGACGACTGCCGCACCTTCTTGGCCTCTGCAACTTGAGATTGTGGGAGGACACGCGGACCTCGTGAGTGTGGACTTGATTTTGAGTCTGAGCTCCCTCGCGCCGGTGGAGTGGGCGACTGGGCTGTGTGAGGTTTGGACTTGTCCCTTTGTCCTGGCGCAGGCGCAGATGCAGGTGGGTGCGAAGATGCGGGCGCAGGCGGCGGTATTCCGCGCTTTTCCGAATCCGGCAAGCGGTTCTGTGTAGTGTTCGCCTCAGATGTCGGAGGCGAGCTTTGCACCTTAGAACGGCGGTTTCCTGTTTGTCCCAGGCGATATCGAGGTGGCTCAGTCGGGACATCAGCATACGGAACTCGAGGTACCGGAGGCCCGCCAGGATCTACTGCCTCCCAGTCAAAGGTGCTCAGATCAGAATCAATATCCACGTAACTCCCAAGGAGTCCTGCCAAGTGAGCGTTAAGTGGGCGCTCAGATGGATGTCTGCCAGCCGTAATCAGAATATCTCGAGCTATTGTTTTGGCGTCATAGTACGTCTTGCCCAAAGCTTCTTCCTTGTTGACGGGTTTAGCAAGTATCCTGACCGATCGCTGTGGCAGCGGCTGGGGCACGGTCGGGGGTGGGGTTGGTGGGAATACGGTTGATGGATAATGAGGAAGCGGAATATATCTTGGTGCGTATTGGGGGTAATTGGGATCAAATCGCAGCGGCCATAGGTATCCAGGGGCCGTATATGGTAGGGGAGGCGGAGGCGGAGGCGGAGGCGGATAGGCAGGTAAGGGCTGATTGGGATACTCCTGGAATGGATTCATCGGTTCAGGTGACTGGCTCTCGGCTCGCGCTTGCTTCTTCAACATAACATAGTCCTCGTTATCACTCAATGCCGTTAGGTCGATCAACTCTGAGAAGTTGTTTTTTTGCGCCATTGCTTTTTTCGAACCGGGGACGGGCTCAGGGTTGGCTTGATAATGGTTCCTGGCAGGCTTTGGCCGTTGCATTGGTGGATTTGGAGGGGCCAAGAGGCGACTCTCGGTTCTGTAAATAGGGGGCATTGCTGCCTGAAATGCCTTGCCGGACTTCATGCCAGTTTCAGGAGCAGAAGAAGTAATTGGCAACGACGCTGGGCGCGTTACCTCTGGCTGACTGGTAGCGACAGGACCTTCGGGAACTGGTGTCGGTACCAGTGCCTGAGAAGGTGACTGTACAGCAGAAGCTGGAGGCAGTGGAGTCTTTGCTGGCCCTCTCAGCTGTGGCACGTGGTTCAAAAGTTGTCTCGCGAACTGACCTCTGTGGAATTTGAGACCTTTTTTCTCGAGCATCATACACAAGTCGGTGTAACTCGGATTCTGCTCCAGGATCCCGTGGATGTCTTTAGGGGAGATCCCTATCTCCGCATTTTCAGGGAAAGCCTTTAGGAATTTGACGGCTACTTCGGCAAGAGCATTTCGCTTGTCTTCAGGCCACATGGTCTCGCCGGTTGGCTTTCGAGGAGGGAGGCCTTGTGTAATGGGGGTTGCAGCTTTTCGCTCAGGGGCAAGGGGGACAGTCGCTTGTCCGGAACTGACGCCCGTCTCGACTGGGCTTGGATTTGCGGTGCTTTGTCCAGTAGCATCTTTCTGGGATGAAGTCCTGGCATGGTATGATGTTCTGATACGTCGTTCAGCAGGGAAGCGGCCCAAATCAGGCAGTCCTTCTGGGTTGTTCTCAACAACCACTTTGTATCCATTGAGCCTAGCTCCCGGCGGCGCGATTGAAAGAGTCTCTGGATCTGCTCCGGGGGTCAATACAGTCGGGGTTCTCTTAGATTGATGTGGAGGTGCCTGTTGCGGCGGAGGTGCCTGAAGGGGTATCGGAGTTGTTGACGGTGACGGATGGTTCTGAGTAGTTGGAGGTGCCTGCTGTGTTCTCATCTGAGGGGAGGTCGAGGGCAATGGGGCTGGTATTGACGGGGCTGATGATGTCTTTTGCATGTCGTCCCACAACTTTCGAAAGAGAGCCGGATCCCTGTTTCGAAACTCTTGCATTCTTTTCATCATTGCCTTAAGCCCAGCCGCCATGTCCGCTTCACTATCCACAGATTCCGGCTGCTTGTCAGATTGAGGTTCACTACCGCTAGGAAGGTCCTGTCGGGGTTGGGCTGCCATTCTAACCTGCTTTCTCTTTTCGTTGGCCTCTTTCATCATGGCCCAAGCTGTAGCTGCGGCAGTGGCGCCTTTTTCTCGATCCTTCGCGGAAGCCGCCGCAGATACCACTTCTTCGGCTTGCTTTTTTGCGGCGGCCTCTTCTGCTGCTTTTCGCTTTGCTTCCGCCTCTACTTGAGCTGCTGCGTCCTTGCGCCGTCTTTCGTGCTCTTTATGGAACGGATTGAACACCTGGGTAGGGTCAACGTAATTCGGCATTGACTGCAGTTCAAGAGTCTCCGAGTATTGGATTGGAGCCGGCTCCTCGGCTGAGTAGATAACAAAATTCGAGATGCTGTTCACCGGTTGAGATTGTGGCTGCGAATTTCGCTGCGGAGCGTCTTGACTCGGGCCCTGTCTATACTGGCCGTTGTTCGCGATCTGCTGGGCTTTCCGTTGATTGCTCGAGACTGCTGAATTGATACTCCCATAATTTTTCTGAGAAGTGATGGAGGACCGACGTTCCTGGGACTGCGTCTTGGTGACCTGAGGTTGAACGTACGGCGAGGCAGATCTCTGTGAAACCGGCTGACTTGTCGGGGCGAACTGGTTCATCACTGGTGAGGTTGATGGTTGTCCTCTCATTGCCGGTGATGCCTGTTGAAAGCGAGCACCGACATTCCCAACCAAAGCGGTTGCTGATCCGATCAAGGAACTTTGTGGATTTTCAGAGGAAAGATCATTCTGGTACCCGGAATTGGAAGACTGGGTGGTATCGCATGGCGATGCGCTTTGTGTTGTGACCGGGGATTGTACACGATTCACAGCAGTAGGTGGTTGGCTTAGAATTGACGCTGCAGTTGGGTGTTGCTGATGATGCCCGCGTCGCTGCAAAGCTGCGTCCTCTAGCCCTGACGCTAAATTGTTCAGACCCGAGCTATTCTGCGCCGTCATGGTTGAGGATATGGAGTTGTAATGATTGTGCCCGCGGCCGCCACCACCAACTGCCGTACCTTGCGCCGGATAATTGCCCTTCTGCGTTGGATCATCGTGGGAGCCGACCTGTGTCATCCTACTGTCCCAGGCGCCGTTGTTGTAGGTTGATCGTTGGCCCGAGCTATTCGAGTAGTTCTGCTGGGATTGATCAGACCAATCGTAGCCGGAGGAGGCATACTGCGATGGTTGACCGTTCCCCAGATAGGAAGCTTGTGTGGCATAACGATTGTTCGCGCTTGACTGTCCTGCATAATTGTAGGGGTCGTTCATGTTCATTTCTTGCGAATCGTAGGATCCTCAGTAGACTGTGAGCCGTGGATAAGACATCACAGGCCTTCAGCTGTTAGGAAATTATGGCGACCAGCCGGCCGTCTTCCGCCCATACTCTTTGTCGTCTTCTGCCTTCTAAATCCATTTATCAGTCGTGTCGGCACATCCGCGTGCGTGGAGGAGGCTGGGTTGTACCCTGTTATGAAAGAAGAGTTTGTTGACTTGAGTGCACTCAGTCCGCTGGTATCGAAACCCGTCTTAATAATGGTGAAGGTCTAACTTGCAAATGAACCAGAATTCACTCGTCGCAAAAACAAATACACGGGGCGCAGACATGGGCGCGGAGCGCAGGTGGGCACCAGAGACAAGGCTGCGGCCGCGCTGGTCGCGTCAGCCAGTCAAAGGCGAGTTGGGGGAGTATGCGGCAGCCTCGCTGAATGCTCCGCCCTAATTAATTTCTTGGCACATGCGGATTTCGCACCACTGCAAAATTCCCAAAATTCGGGAATCGCATCTAGATTGACGACCTCAGATCTCGTCCATTGTTCGACATTCCTTTTCCTCGCCAGAAATCCCCAACCATGACGAAGACGAACCATGGTGCGAGTCACCCCTCAGGGCGAAGACTGACATGATAAGAACCGACATTGACAGTTTCCTACAGGTATTGCCTCGTCGAGGCGCAAGTCTCGCAAACTCCACTTCGGTGCCCCTTCCAGCGTGCGACGAACGATCATGAGCGCTCCTCTGAGCAAGGAATTAAGAGAAAAGCATAATGTACGAATTCTCGACCCCTGCCCAAGGAATTGTCTGCATGTCTCTCCGCGAAAGTGAACTCAAGGTCTTACTTTTGCTTTGAAAAAATAAAACAGGTCCGTAGCATTCCGATCCGCAAAGACGACGAAGTCACCATCGTGCGAGGCTCCAACAAGGGGCGCGAGGGAAAAGTCATCTCTGTCTACCGATTGAAATACCTCATCCACATCGAACGTGTCTCCCGAGAGAAGTCGAACGGCCAATCCGTACCAATCGGTGTTCATCCCAGCAAGGTTGTCGTGACGAAACTCAAGCTTGACAAGGACAGGGAGAAGATTCTGGAGAGGATCGGCAAGGGAAGAGAAGCTGTCAAGTCTAAGGAGTAGGCGCAAACACACATTGGGAGAGGCTGAGAGCGTGCGCACGTTAGGGGGGCCGCTTCGCGAAGCGGATTCATGCCAATGCATGGGCTGAGGTGGGAAAAACAATTCAGACGGACTCGGAGCATTCGTCAGCGGTTTCCACGAGGATCGTTATCAACACAATGAGTTGGTAGAAACAAGGGGCGTCATACATACCCGAAAACCCGGACGTTTCATTCGTGGCTTGAATGGAAACGAAAAATCATTTCAAAGAGGAAGAGACCTCCAGGTCAAGTTCACCCGCTGGACGCAGACGTCTTCTTCTGTTCTTCCTCTTCCTCCTCCCTTTTTTATACGCAAGAGCTTTCGGCGTTCAAAAAGCCTCTCGAAACTTTTTGCCAGTATTATCTCCTTGTCTACCTCATTTCCACGTGGTTGCCCAAGGTAAACGTCTGGCGCAGATTGAAACATTTTCTTTCTCATTCTCACTTTACAAAAAGTGGGTGGAAAGGGCTCGCCGGCAGACTGTCGACAAGGACACGATTCAATGAGTCGCAGGATTTGATGGCGAGGGACAATTCCCCATAGCGCGATACACCTCGTGATTTGGATTTCTCCACTGGGTTTTGTTTTGTCGGTCTGAATTCTGTGATCAGTATTCCTTTGCTCAATTCTCTATTGCACAACCCCTCCTTCGTTCCAGAGGCTCTTAAATGAGGCAGTGGGACATTCTGTCAGACCGCCACTCTTAGTCGCTGGCGTGCCCAAGCTTTTACCGTGGCTTGCCTGGCTCGCTGGGCGGTCTTCAGACGATAATGAATAGAGCTCATTGGCCGAGTAAGGGTCTTGGCATATTTGTGGAGCCAACCCACGAATACGAGGTTTTGAGGTAGTATCCTAGTTGTACGTGAATATACTTTGAATCGGAATACATTGAGGGCCTGCTGGGCTACATAGACGACGCTCCCAGATCGCACGTTGCTGTGAGCATCCTCGCGCAACGTGTTATTACGCAGCGTCTCTCCCTTGTGATTCAGAACTGCTTCTCAATAATGCCGTTCGCAGCATTCATGGCACCGCGCTCCGTCGCGATGGGCACATCCATGCCAGTGACCTTGGAGAGATACCTGGACAGGCCCTCCTCGCCCTCCTCGTGCTCAGCATGTCCCTTGTGGATCTTCTGCAGACTGTCCCGCATCAAGAACTCGTAGTACCCCGTGGCGAAGATGGTAGCGGGGATGTTCACGAGGATGGAAATCCACGAGTAGCCGTTGTCGAAGCTGAAGGCCTCGCCGCCGAAGAAGATGGCGGCGACAATACGAGTGCCCAAATCCCTTGCCAGGTTAGTTGAGATGCTGTTTCCGGCGAAACCCCAGACCATGGCTGCGTAGACAAGACCTATCGTGAACGGTGCGGAGACGGGGCTGACGAAGGGGTTGGCGGGATCGAGACAAGCCCAGATCAAGATCCCGATATAGCTATCCACAAAGAACTCCTGGAAGAAGAGATATCCCTGATTCGACTGGTCTGGATTGGGGAACGTGCAGAATATACTGGCTACTCCGCCGTTGTAAACGGCAGTACCGTGCTCTTTGATATCGATGGCCTTGGCAGCTTGTATCTGTGGCCAGTAGCACGCCATGAGAAACAAGCCGGCGATGAACGCCCCAAAGATCTGAGAGAAAATATAGTGCGGTACTTTCTTCCAAGGGAAGCCTGGTTATTGATAAGGTGTCAGGCAAATATTCTGAATTCGAGAAGGTCGGACAAGGTCACGACGGTGGTAGAGGGAAAGCAGAAAGCTCCACTTACCTTGCCAGATAGCAAAACAAATAGTGATAGCCGGGTTAAAGTGCCCACCGCTAGTGGGTGCACAGGTGATGATCGCAAATGCGATTCCCATGGCGAACGCACAACCAATCTGGAAGAGAGACCCAAAGACCGGTATCCCGACAGCAGCCCCAACGCCATTGGTCGTAGCTAGAGTGAATGAGGCCACAGAGGCGATACCGGGAAAGACGTAGAAGAACACGCCAGTGCTAGAATCCCGGTTAGCATCGAAAATGTTATCTGGATACGGGGGCAAATCTCCAAATTAAAGCCCTTGCAGACTGGATCGAGAGCTGACGGATGAGGCTACTTACGCTTCCGCCATCATTTCCCGCAGAATTCGCGGTCTCTTGTACTCGAAATTGAGCTTTCTCTGGGAGACCGGCTTTGGGGCAACCACATGGCGAGTGATATGCCGCTGGAGAACCTCCGAAACACCGAGTTCGATGTCATGAGTATGCTGTCGTGTCATCGACTCCGGAGAGCGGTTAGCCATGGCTGAGGTGCGCCTTCGCTATGGATCGACTCTGATTAATATTCAAGAATCTGGGGATGCTGCACTCGCACAATCTGGGGGAGAGACGATCTGGGGAACCGGATTGGAACAGTAACCACAATAATTTCTCAAAACCTGGGGTGAATGGCCATAGATGTAGGCCACGACCTACAACCACGACCTTGGTCGTTGCCACGTTATTTCGTTCCACTTTGTTGATTCATAACTAGCATACTTTCCGGCCCTGCCGTTGTTGTGCATTTCGCGCTCGACAACTGCTCGGCTGGAAACCGAATCCACAAGTGGATTGGAGACAGATAGGGTCGTTCAATGACGAGGCCTGCAACGAGGGATTCGGTAGATGTGGTATCAGCAACGCATGCCTTTGGGGACAGAGCTCTCGGGTGTCATTATGAAGCAATGCAAGCGATTCGACCTGTCAGGAGAGATTTTGCGCCATGCAGGGGGTCATTGCTTGATCATAGACAAGCTTCGCAAGCACGCCACCTTTCCAGATCAGCAAGCCAATTTCCTTGATGGGGAATGGTTTTTTTTTTTTTTTTGAATGAACGAAAGAGCGCGAAGCTAGAATACGAAGAGGAAGGTAGGCTCAGGTGGCCGGAGCCGTGTTGTTTGGCATCGATGGGTATCGTTCGGCAACCCTGTCGACACCCCTGTTGAAGAGAAGCAATCACAGGCACTGCGATACCGCGAACAGCCTCGGTGGAAAAGATTGATGTGTGCGTCATCGTGTCTCCGTCAAAGCTGTGATTGAACGGAACGATCAGGGCCTGGGAGGAAGTGAGGAGCCTGGAGGGATGCATTCGGTGGAGGCGGAGATAAAGCGAACAGCGACTGTAACAATGTCATTGAACCCCATGGATCGCTGGGGTCTCCATGTGGAGAAGAACACGCTTCGATTGCGTATGATTTGAGTACGGCGTGCCACTCGACTCCACTCCAAAGGACATGGTGATGCATTGTCGTTGTGAATTACGCCGAGAACAGGTGTCGAAACGTTTCAACATGCTTTTTCTTGCGACGATACGGCACCTCTCCGGTCGAGTCCGTCCCCTTGCAGCCTCGTTTGATGGCCGAAGTTCCGAAGGCTCTGTCTTTTCTCCTGGATGTTGGTCAGTACCATTGGTAGCAATGACGGCATCGACTAATGGGAGACGCTGAGCAAAGCCTCCAAAAGGTTTAGCCTGCTCGGAGACGCTGCCAAAGCAGCCGTGCTGCCCGCGAGCGCGAGTGAATAAGCCTGCGGCGGACCGGATGCTGGGAACGCAACACACCCTTCTGCAAATTGATCCAACCTGCAGGATTTAAATGGCCAATAGTGTTATTCTCTCTGTGAGCCTAAGGCAAAATATAAATAAATTTCCCAGCGCCACCTCAGTCATTGCAGGGAGCTGGCAAGTGTCATCCGGTGGCCTCGAAAGGTTCCCACCGTGTTTTCGGAACCGAGACCTCTTGAAGACCCTCTCAGACACAAGAGAGAGCGAGTCTGTGAATTCTCTGGGGCTGTTCTTCCATAATGAAAATTCTTCGATCCGGAGAGCGGGCGTATTTCCGTTCCAGAAAGGGACCCAGAGAGGATCTGGTAGCCTCCACTCCACCGGAGGAGGCCAGTCGCCAGATGCACTCGGCCCGAGTTGTGCACAGTGCTCCTCACCATTTCTCAACCGCAGGCCTTATGTCGATTTCGTTGGTGAAGCACGTCCTGGGCTGAGTATGCAGGTACCAATACGAGTCGGCGATGGCCTCTGGCTTAATCTTTGCCTCTGGATGGTCAAACTTGTACTCCTTTGTGCGCTCAATATCAATCACACCATCAATGATGGCGTGGACCACATGGACACCCTTGGGTCCAAACTCTCTTGCCAACGATTGGGCCACGGCCCTCATTGCGAACTTCCCGGCCGCGAAGGACGCGCACAAAGCGGAGCCTTTCATAGCTGCCGTGGCAGATGTAAAAATAAGGGTAGGCGGGTATTCAGCGTTTGTGTTCTTGAGGAGGAGTGGGAGGACGGCTTGTGAGAAGTGAAACGCTCCTCGCCTGATCAGATGACAGTCACATCAGCAAGTTTTCCCTTCACCAAGCCTTGTTCACAACATACCCATTGGCTTCCCATCCACTCTCAAACTCTTCGTCCGTCAGTTCAAGAAACGGCTTCCTCACAAACCTGCCTCCCACATTGTAGATTGCGGCTGCGAGCGACGCACCCCCCATCTCTTTCTGCAGCTGCTCAAGGGCAGCCTTAACACTCTTGCCATCAGAGGTGTCAGTACTGATGCCGATCGCCTTGCCGCCAGCGGCATTAATCTCATTGACGATAGGTTCGAAGTTGGCTGGTTTCCGAGCGAGAAGGGCGACGGCATAGTTCTTTGCGAACCGACGAGCGACGGAGGCACCTCTGTCCAGGGTCAGTATTATTCTCCAAATCATTTCCTGCGTCAAGACTTACGTGCCAGGCCCAACACCGGCAACCACAGCCCAGGCTTTTGGGGATGCCATGGTAGGAGAAGTCAACCTCTGAGCCTCAATGCGAAGCCTGTTGTGGGCAGTTTGTCCGACAGCCACTGTCATGCAAATCTGCAACAAATAGAGGATGAAGGCACCGAGTGCAATTGAACCTTTGGTCCGCGGGCCGAGAAGAGCAGATCGTCGCAGACAGCGACGCGGACTCTTTTGGTC